TGGGAGTGTTCTACTCAAGGACGTTTATCATGTTCCGGGTTTGAAAAAAAATCTTGCTTCTGTATCACAAATAACATATTCAGTAAGGTATGTTCTTTTTTGTCCTAAAGATGTTCAAATATTATCTAATGTGAAACATGTTGCTGCTAATATCATGTGAAAAAAGAAAATAATCTTTGTATGTTTTATGCTAGTGATGAATATATCAAGAAAGTTGGTCATAATGCAAGCTCAATTCTTTGGCATGCTCGTTTGGGTCATGTGGGTTTTCAGCTGTTGCGGAAAATATCCATAAAACAACTTCTTGATGGTGTCCCTGTCTTTAAAGATATTCAACATGATGAGATTTGTCCAGGCTGCAAATATGGGAAGTCTCATCGTCTTCCTTTCATAAGCTCAAAGAGTAGAGCTTCAACAGTATTAGAATTGATTCATTCTGATCTTTTGGGACAGACGTGAACAACTAGCTATTCCGGCTTTCGTTACGTGATGGTGTTTGTGGATGATTTTTCTCGTTTCAGTTGGGTATACTTCTTAGAACACAAAAGTGAAGCTTTTTCAAAATTTATTCAGTTTAAGCATGCGGTAGAAAAAGAATTTGAATTGAAAATCAAGTGCTTGCACATTGATAATGGAGGGGAATATCTTTCAAATGATTTTATGGAATACTGTAAGGAGCATGGGATTCAGCGTCAACTGACTTGTTTAGAAACCCCGCAACAAAATGGGGTTGCTGAGCGTAAATTAGCTCATCTTACATCAATTTGCTTGTCTTGGCTGCATGCGAGGAGTCTTCCAAAAGAGTTATGGGTGTCAGCTTGTCATGTTGTAAATCGGCTGCCTCCATATGGCTAGGGACAGAATCATAACCATTCAAGCTTATTTATCATCATAACCCAATGTGAGTTATTTTTGTATTTTTGGGTCTATTTGTTACGTTCATGTACTGAAACCTAATCGAACTAAATTTGACCCAAAGGCCAAGAAATGCATTTTGTTGACTATGATACTCATAGAAAGGATTGGCGATGTATGGATTTGGAAACAAAGATGGTTATTGTGTCTCGTGATGTGGTGTTTGATGAAATAAGTTATAGAGACGATGCAGATAACAACAAAAGTACAACTACGGTTGCACTTTTTCTTGACGATTCTACGTTAAGGAGAAAAGAATTTCCAATTGCGACAGACATTCAAGCTGAAGAGAACAGAGAAGTCATTACAAATATTGAAGTTGCCACAAGAAAAAATCCTCAAAGACAGAAAAAGTTACCATATTTCAGAAGGGGAAAATGCAATGATGGAAGAAATTTCAGCACTCCGATAAAATGACACCTAAGAGCTTGTACCAAAGCCTCATGATGCCGATTTAATTACTCGTAAGTGGGTTTACAAGGTGAAGAAAAAAGCTGATGGTAGAACTGATAGACACAAACCTCGTCTTGTTGCTCGTGGGTTCTCTCAGCAATATGGTCGAGACTATGACAAGACTTTTAGTCCGGTCACAAGGATGGTAACATTACAGATAGTCATCTCTTTAGCTGCTAGTAAAGGCTAGAAATTATGGCAGCTTGATGTGAAAAATATTTTCCTTTACCGAGAGTTGGATCATAATATTTTTATGGAGCAGCCGCAAGGATTTACCTCTAAGGAATATCCTGATTATGTGTGGACTTAAGAAGGCATTATAAGGACTCAAACAAGCTCCTCGTGCTTGATTTGGTAAGATTGCTCAATATCTTAATTTTTGTGGCTTTAAGTCTTCATGTGCTTATTCGAGCTTATTTGTTAAGAAAACAACAACTGGATGCACAACTTGTTAGTAGTTTATTCTATTTAACTATCACAAGGCCATACATTGCCTTTTCAGTAGGAGTTGTGTCTCAATTTAAGGATCAACCACATGAGACTCATTTAATTGCAGCAAAAAGGATTCTTTGTTACATCAAGGACACTCTAAATTATGGATTAATGTATGAGAAATCAACATTAGGCTGGTGACGTGAACGACATATGCTCCACAACAGGTTTTTGTTTTATAGTAGGCTCTGCTGCAATTTCATGGTGCAGTAAAAAGCAACGCACCATTGCTTTGTCAAGTTGTGAAGCAGAATATGTAGCTACTATAATGGCTACTCAAGAATGCTTGTGGCTCAGAAGGTTTATTCAAGAAATGGTGACTACTCTCAACCAGTAATTCAAATCAATTGTAATAATGAAAGTGCAATAAAACTGGCTGGAATTCTGGTGTTTCATGCTCGTTCGAAACATATTGAAACTCATTATCATTTTGTTCGAGAGAAATTATTATCGCAGGATGTTGAATTTCAGAAAATACATGCTGCAAGTTGCAGGGTAGTTGAATTAGTCTAAGTTGTTGATTTATTAGGAGTCAACCTCAATAGTTTATTATTTAAGTTAGTCTTTCTAGGAGTTATTTATACGATTTGTTTCAGTTTAAATAGAAGCTTAAGCTTACTAAAACACAGCCACAGTAAAGTCGTTAATTATTTCAGTTGTTTCTGTATTATCTTATTTGAGTAATAATAATTTCATATTTATTCACACTTTTGAGCGTGAGATATTGTGACAGATAACATCTACTATCTATAGAGAAGGAAGAGCCACCGATTCCCACTTATTATTGTGGTCACAAAAAACCATAACCAAATAAGCCTTACAAATATTTGGTTGGTGGGGAAGGAAGAGTGATCATAAAATAACCCTTACAAATAAGCTCTTAATTTCTCCTTTTTCAGTTTTAAATATCTCCCCATTGTTAAAAAAAATAAAAATAAAAACAAAAAAAAATGATAATATTTAATGGTACAGTTGAAGAGAAAAACCGAAAAAAGACAACAATATTTACATGGAAGAGATAAAACTCAAAAAATACAACCATATTTACAAAAAAGACAACCTCTACCGGAGAGGGAGGAAGAAGAGCGTACACATTCTCACTTATTATTCCGGTCATAAAATAACTATTACCAAATAAGCTCTTAAAGAGCCCACAAGTTCTCACTTAGTATTCCAGTCATAAAATAACTATTACCAATTAAGCTCTTAATTAGGGAGAAAGAAGAGCCCACAAATCCTCGCTTATTATTCCGGTCATAAAATAACTATTACTAAATAAGCTCTTAATTTCTATTTTCAGCTTAATCTACCAGCGCCCTTGACAAGAAAAGGTAAATATATATATATATATATATATATATATATATATATAATATCTCATTACAAAAAAATCCAAAAAAGACAACATCTACTCTTGGTAGGGAAAAAAAATACAATATCTAATTACAAAAAAATCCAAAAAAAAACATCTACTCTTGGTAGGGAAGAAAGAGCGTAAGAATTCCCAATAACTATTACTAAAGAAGCTCTTAATTTTTCATTTTCAGTTTCGACTAGAAAAAATCAAACAAGACACCGGTCATAATATAACTATTACCAAGTAAGCTCTTAATTTCTATTTTCAACTTAATCTACCAGCCGTGTTGACAATAAAAAGTTAAAAAAAAAAAATACAATATCTAATTACAAAAAAATCCAAAAAAGACAACGTCTACTTTGGGTGGGGAGGGAAGAACCTACAAATTCACACTTATTATTCTGATCATAAAATAACTATTACCAAATAAGCTTAATTTCTCATTACATTTATTATTCGGGTCATAAAATAACTATTATCAAATAAGCTCTTAATTTCTCATTTTTTAGTTTTTAATATCTACGAGTAGTTAGTTCTTGACAAATAAAAGCAAAAAAAACAATATCTGCTACTACAAAAAAAACTCATAAAAGACAACATGTCGGTGGAGAAGGAAGAGCTCACAGATTCCCACTTATTATTTCTGTCATAAAAACCATTACCAAATAAGCTCTTGATTTCTCGTTTTCAATTTTCAATATCGACTAGCTGTAGACAATATTTGACACCTCAATTGTGAGGTAAAAACTCAAAAAAGACAACATATACAATCGGTGAGGAAAGAGAGCTCACAGATTCCCACTCATTATTCCGGTCATACAAAAATCATTAGCTCTTAATTTCTTATTTTCAATTTTCAATATCTCCCCGGTGAGAAAGAAAAGTAGAAAAAGACAATATCCTCGAAAAAATACCACATCTATTGGTATAGAAGCAAAAGCCATAAAATAATCTTTTAATTTCTCATTTTCAATTTTCTATATGGGTAGGGGAAAAGTAAAACCCAAAAAAGACCATATCTGTTTGCTCAATTCACTCACGAGTAAAAACCCAAAAGACAACCTATTGGTGAGGAAATGAGAGCCCACAATTCCCACTTATTATTCCGGTCATAAAAAAAATCATTACCAAATAAGCTCTTAATTTCTCATTTTTCAATATCCGCCGACTATTGACAAAAAAAAATTAAAAAAAAATAAAATAACCGATAAACGAAGAAAAACCCAAACCCAAAATACACCATATCTCCGTGAGAAGTAAGCGCCCACATATTCTTTCTTACTTTTTGGTCCTTAAAAAAGAACTATTACCAAATAAGTTCTCAAATCTCCAGTTTGTTCCATTTTGTTTTCAATATCACCATCTGAAGCGCCCACAGATTTCCACTTACTTTTGGATCATTAAAAAAAAAAAACTATTACCAAATAAGATCTCAAAATCTCAGATTTTTTCAGTTTTGTTTTCAAGATCCAGACAAAGAAAAAGTACAACAAATTTGAATTCTATTATAATTTTAAATACTACTTTTACTTTAATTTATGGTTCACATATTTGGTTACCAAACTTGTTTTCATTTTTAATTTAGTATAAGTTTTCATAGTTTTATTTTTTAATTTTTTTTTTTTTCAAAATAACTCGTACCAATAGAGATATAATAATATCGTTTACTTGTATCTATTTTCTCTTTAATTAATTAATAAACGAACAATATATTAAAACACAAACGACAACTTTTATTAAAGAAAAAAAGTACGAACCCCAACCCCAATACAAGTATAGAAACAAACACACATAACATAGCATAGCAAAACATAACATAACACACTTAACATGACATAAACAACAACACATTGCACACACAATACCTTAATACTCAATAATACATGACTGACTTATTATATATGAATCTGAAGATTCAACTGACTTAGTATATATGAATCTGAAGATTCCTAGAGGCTGGTTTGATGGTGTTGAGAACCTGAGCTTTCCGAGTATAGATTTGAGTGTTTTCAAAGCCATCATCAGAATCAACAGCAACAAAGACGGCTCTTAATAGACGACTATAGTGAATAAGATAAGCCAAAAAGGTGATTTCATTTGGCGTCCCTGTGAATCCCCTGGCATCCACTATCTCCAGCGATTTTGATAAGCAAGTCATGATCGTCATATTGGTTTCCCAGAACCTAGTTATGTCCAATGCAAATGGTGGCTCATATTCCTACAACCAAAATTGAATTATGTAATAATTCCCAAATTGGATAATTTCAAAAAGTGAAAACGGAGAAAGAAATTGCCAGCAAACAACCGAACTTATTTCCTTACAAACAAACTCTAGAATTTTGTGATGTGAAACAAAAAGAATATAAAACAAAATTATTAAAAGCGGTGTTAAAAAAGAAGAAGAAGAAAGAGAACTGACTTGCAAGACACTCCCCTCGCCAAGCATGAGCGTGAGGGTATTCAGATGAGGACAACTATTCAAGAGAAAAGCTATGCCATAAAACTCATTTGGATGAATGCTTGTACTCAATGTTAAATGTTGGACATTCAATGGTGCTTGCATTTGAATCGGCTCTTCTCCGTTTGGGATAACCTTCGTTGCAAAATCCAATCAATGTCAACAAACACACAATTATTTATAGAATTATAGCTTGGAGATTCAAAAACATCTCTTCTAGTTCAAATAATAGTAAAAGAAGAAAATATTAGAACAACTATTCAATCAGTCAGTCGCCACAGTCTATAGTGCATGTATGGTTGAGCTAAAAAATTTAACAGGGAGTTTTCGGTTTTCTTGCATCCGATCCTGCTGCAGAAAGCTGAGTACACTAACACAATGTTAGAGAAATTTCTTCAATAGAAATCAGATAATTGAATCTTAAAAGGAAATAAAAAATGGTTAGTAAACGATTATTAAGTAATTTAAACCATTATACCTGAAGCAGAGAACTGCAAACACTCAAAACTTTGGCAGAATACAGACTATCGAGAAGAATATAGAGAAGGTTTGCAATTTCAGAATGGTCATCTTCATCATCGATCTCAAAACTAAGATCAGCCTCTTCGAAACAGCGATTCACATCCATACGAAATGAACCTACTCCGCCAGAGTATCTGAAGTACGTCAAATTAGGCGCCTCGACCGAAATCCAATCATTAAGAAACTTGCACTGCTCAATCGCCAAATGCCTCAGTCTCAAATTATCTTTGTTTCCCCAAATTTCAAAATGCGTCGCGTTCCAACACCTCTTTAGATTTAAACTCTCCAACAGCGGGCATTTCTTCAGAAAATACCTAATCTCTCCAATTCCTACTTCAAGCCATCCTAAAGAGAGATGCCTCAGAGCCTTCAAGTTCTCGAACTCCGCCGGGCGGAAACCGCACGCGTAAAGCTTCAGAGACTGGAGATTCTTGTGACCGTAAACGATCGGAGGCAAATCGAACATACTTTCTGGTTGAACTCCGTCGTCATCGTCTTCGATCCACGCCGAGTTGGAGAAATCCAGTTCTAAGTCCTCGACGTTGCGATAAACAGCGAATCGAATGCATTCATCAACGAATCCGCCGCTGCGGTCTCCTCTCGGATTTGACAACGAGAGAGAGAACTTACGCACCGTCGGTTCTTGGTAGACTGAGAGAAACTTCACACAGAACTCGATGAATCCTCTTCTCCTTGCATCTCTGGTTTGCTGATCGGTAGGCTCTTGTCCGACGAAGAAAACCTCCTCCAACTCGATATTTCTCGTCGCCTGCCAAATCCTCACCCAACGCTTGGACAAAATTGAAGTTCTAACGGCTTCCTTGAAAGGAAGAGAAGAGACAATCATCGATAACAGAACATCAGGCAACATGTCCAATCTGTCCACGCCCGCCATGGATGCCGATGAGAGAGAAACAAAAATGAACTTCGAACATGAACTCTGCTACTGCAAAAGGAGTGAAACGGTATTTATAGGATTTTGTCGAACGGGCGCCAGAAGACGACAGTTGAAATTTTTATTTTTTTTCTTTTTTAAAAATAAATAATTATAAAATGAATAATTAGATATTTTGTGGATAATTAAAAGCAAATGAAGCAATTAGAGAAACTAAGCATTCTTATCTATCAAAATCAGGTTTTGCTAATATCTCTTCCTAAATTTGATTTTCTTGGAATTAAGACTATTAGATCCCATTTGTTTTAGTTTTATAATTATTTCAAAATTTTCTCCAAAAAAATTAATATTTTTCCCTACCGAACAAATGATTAGTTTAACGGTTTATTTATTACATACGACATGAGAAAAGTCGATATGGTAAACGAATCCCGATCTTAAATTAGAACTAGATTGGAATTAAAAGCAATGTTGCCTTTTTCCTTTTATGCGTTGTCGTATTCGTTAATTCCAATATGATACAATGTCGGGCAATCCCGAGATTGGTTTAAATTTTGACGTTATTCAAATTAAAGCATCATCTGCACGGGTATTTACATACCGAATCTTGTTACTACCATATGAATCTTTCTTAGACATGTCTTGTCGGCTAGTGCACTAATAGAACTTCCATATTGAAGATTCTGAAAATATTGCCAATGTCTCGAAACATGTACCCAATAACCTCAATGTTTCGAATCATGTTCGGCAGCAATAGCCTAATTTGAAACAACCAGTGTAATAAAAAGATCGACTTCTTGTAACAATGTCTGGAAGCATGTTTATCTACCCTAACATAATTTAAAGTATGATTAAAATTAAGAATATTATTTAAATTTTAAAAAAGTTGGTATTTTGAGATAAGGGACAAATTTTATGGGTATTTATTTTTATTAATTTAACAAGCGGATAATTACAAAATTAGTTTGGTTAGGAATCAGTGCCGAAAAAATCAATTATATTTTTTTATATTTTATTCTAATTAATTAACTCTAGCACAATGAATTAACACAAAGGACAAAAATTCCCAACTTATTACCATATAAACAAACGTGTTAAGATGGCAATAACATTGACAATTTGAATTCCTATTTTACCCTTCAATTTAAATATATACCTATTAATTATAAAAAATAAAAATCACTTTATAATTAATTTTTTCAAATTTTCAAACCATCTTAAAGTTTTACTGAAATAAATAGTCATTAATAGTTTGTAACAAATTTTCAAATTATCTTCAAGAATTTAAATATTTCAAAAATTCAATTAATTAAAATAAAAACTTTTATTTATTTATTTATTTATTTACTTTTTATCCCCAAGGAAAAATTCGAAAATTTTGTGGCGTTTTGTAAAAAATGGAAAAGTTAAAAGAACCCCAGCTATAAAAGGCATCTTGTTCTCACCCGCCGCCCCTTTTTTTCTCACTTTTTGACTTTTCTCCCTCCCGTCTCGATCTTCTCGCGCCGCGATAGCCATTTGTTTCCCGGCCATCTCTCTCTTGCTCTGCCCTTCGTTCGTTGCTCGAGTTTGCTCGTTCTCGAGACCAGCTTTGAACAAACACGTTGCAAGTAAGATTTCTTTTATCTTCCTTTTTTTTTTCTCTCTCTGCTTTATTTTCGGAATGTTTTGTCACAACACACCATCAAATCGTGAGCCATGCTACCGCGGTTTGTGGATAAAATCTCTAAGCATCACCACCTGTTTCGCGTGAGAGGAAGCAATCACCATCGCCATTCGCGATTTTCTACTCTGCTTGTTGGTTTGACTGGTCCGATTTGAGTTTTATTACTTATTTTCAGTTCGACCGATTTGATTTGGTTCTATTTTCTTCGGTTTTTAGGTCTATTTTGATTCATGTTGGATTTAGGTATTGTTTTAGGGTTTGATCTAGATTTCACAAATTAAAAAGAAACTTAGGTATGGCGTAGCATATTTATTTAGGTAAGGAGTCGATTGAAACTTTTCTTATTCGATTGAATTGTTATAGTCTCATGTAGGACTTAAAGTATAAACATGTTTAACTGTTATTCTATGTGAACGTCATTTATATAATTAAGAGATTATGTTGGAACTATTAGGTGGTTGTTAACTAACTTCTAATAATCCATTGTTTATCAAATACCATATTGAGACCACAAGGTTGTCAACTTACATCTAGTAATGAGCGGTTTATTTTGATTGGATCACATATGTATCGTAGTTGGTTAGACAAGAGCTAACTATTTGTACACGTAGATTCATTAAATCTAAAAATGTGACCTTAATTTTAAGATAAAGTATGAGAAGAAGTTCAGTGAATGAATGAAGGAAGGAATGAGTATTAAGTGATTTTTTATACTTATATCTGCCACTCAATTTTTTAAAATGATGCCTAAATTTCTATGCATGATGAGGGTGTTCAATATATATAACAAGGCTACAGGGACAGCGAAGGGCTTGAAGCCTTGTTACAGATCCTAAAAGTTTTTTATTTCTTGTATTCTTTTTTTTCTTTGTTAATGTCTGAAATAACCTATCTGAAAAATCTTAGTGTTAGAATTGCTATGACAGCCTTAAGTCTTAAGGTTATGTAGACTCAATGAAGTTGCCTCGTCACTATCAAATATCAAATGAAGAAAGTAGTGTAGTTTAAGTGGTTATGAGTTCTTATGGTAATAATGATTGCTTGGGGTCATTATTGTTATGATATTTCAACGTGTTGGCTTTCAGTAGGCAATATTGTAGCATATTCCTAAGCCAAGTAGTGTATATTAGATGATGGCGCCTCAAAGAAGGGGCACAACAACATGCAATAGGGTGGAAGGAGATGGGTGACTCTGGCTCGAGCAGACCCTACCCAAAATCATTCGGTTGGAGAACTACCATTGAGGCATGTGCCACAATGGCTAGTACCTCTGACACAAACTACGGTGATATTGACATTGTAGGCTATACTCACTTTTTGAGTTAGCTGCAACCAATTAGTCAAGAATAATGGAAACATGATGACAGAGTAAGTTAAATATTTGTAAGACTTCAAGAAGCATGATCCCAACAACCTTTGGATCGATATGCAGTAGACCATACGACGAGAATATAGTTAGAGTGAAGTTAGAGAATCTCCCTCTTGAGCTAGCCTAGGACATTATCTTGTTCAAATTTCCAGGTCTAGTCTACACTTCTTTTTTTCTTTTTTTTTTTTCAACCACCATGACTAAATTGTCAACTTTCTTAAACAACATCATGTTTCTAATATTTCTAAAAAAAGAAAAATATTTGATTTTTCTATGAGGTCTCAAATACTTTTGTAGGTGTCCTTCCTATTGTTTTTTTCCAATAATTGAACCATGTATTTAGTGTCATAAACAAAACAATCATTTTCACCATTTTATCTCTCTAAAATTATTAGGTCTGGTGAGGGAGAAAGAATATTCTGACTTTTTCCCACAAAAAGCTATTGAGAAAGAGAGAGAAAGGAGAAACAATTGTACTAGATATTAGTTAGATGACAAAGCTGCGAGACACACAAAACATGTCCATGTGGTTCTCCAAATGCTCATCATATAGGCTTTTGTGGGTCACTAATTGCTGCAATTGCTGCTTCTATTTTTACCTTTACTTCCTCTTCCTCCGCTATCTCCTCCTGTTGTCACCAAAAACCACAATAACATACCCATGAGATAGGATTCTTATCCTCTAACCTCATAAAGTCTCTTTTATAAGTATGGTAATGTAACAATTTAAATCTATTGAACTAATTACAGGATGATATGCCAATGTTGGATGAGGAGGGGAATGGGAGACGAAGTCTTCCTAATAGACAACATTTAAGGAAAAGTTCGAAATGAAAAGTCGAAAGACGAAAATGTCTGCTCACGGTGGAGTGCAGTGCTGGGATATTATGGAAAAGCTCAAAAGAATTTGTTCTTTGACCATATGAAAGGGTAGGATACGATAGTGGAGGACAAGAACAGGATCTGATAGAACAAAAGCGTGAGCAAATACCCCATGGCGCCCCATCATTCTTCAGTCCATATCCCCTGATCTAAATAATGGGGCTGCAACCTTAGCTATCTATAATAATAATAATAATAATAATAATGGGGAAATAAAAGAATGGGCAGAGGTTTTGGGAGGAAAAAATAAAGAAAGAACTCAGAGCACTACAGGTGATGGGGTTCTAGAAAATAAAAAACAAAAACAGAGGACTGACCTCAAGGAAGAGCGTGATCAAAAGCTTGTTGGCAACAATGGTGATAGTGGCCGTAATAATCTTCATCTTAAGCGATTCAATAACTTGGCATATTTTCATTATGGTGTCGCTTCTTCTTCCGCACGTCAAGCTCACCACCATCGTCTTCTCTCCCATGCAATTCACCCTCAACTGCTTAAACAATCCCAACAATCTCAATTTCAAACTAAAAACACACAGAAAAGCCCTAGAAATTTCAATTTCCTTACGTCGAGAACTTCGATCGGGAAAGACGGCGGCGGCTCCGGTACTTGCCCATTCTTATTCGTTCTCTTCTCCCTCAAGATTCCGTCGTCATCTTCGTTTGTTGCTCTGTTCTTGATTTTGCCTGATTCCAGATCTGAGATCTCCTCTTCGATTCTCTTCTCTTGCGCTCGCAGCTCTTGGATGTACTCGATCGCGTCTTTTATTATCGATGCCTTGTCCATCTGCGTTAATAAATTCCAATTTGTTGTGGTAAAATAAATTACAAAATGTATTTTTCATATTAAATTTTATTTTGTCTCACCTAATTATATTATTATAATCTTTCACCTTATTTAATTGACCTGAAAGAAAAAATAAGAAAATAAATAAAACACATACGTGTAGCTTTGAACTTACCTTGGCTCAATGATTGTTTGAATAACTTTGTCGTGGAGTCTATAATTTATAATATTTTAATATTTCTTTCTTTAATTATTTGGACAAAGAAATAATAATTAAAACCCTTTTATCACAATGATTTAAATCATTTTTTCTTTTGATGAGATGTGATTGTTACTTAAATTTGATTAATAGAACACCTAAGTTTGACACAAAATTTCAATACATTAAGCTATTATTTGTTATATTATTATTATTATTATTTTAAGCAGCTTGAAAATTGAATTATTGGGACATGATAAAATTAGATTTTTATTACGAATTAATTCTACATATTCAAATTTTCATGTTATTATTATTATTATTATTATTATTATTATTATAAGATCTTAATGATTATGTGCTGTTTCAACAACTCACACAATCTTTCCAATTTAATATGCATATTGGGACATGTTGTTCCAAAATATATTAAATAAAAAAATAATATAATATTAGATTTAAAATCTCGGGTTGATTTTAATAAGTTAAATAAAAGTATATATAGAAAGCATTATTTTATTTTATTAAAATCCTCAGAAAAATTATTTCGGTAAACGCAGATCCCAAGGAACGATTGATTATTGGGGGAAAATCGATATTAGAGATTTTATTTTTATAATTTATACAATTTAAATTACTTTCTTCACTAAATAATAATAATAAGAATTTGACTTACTTTGGTGATATTAGGGACCACAGCTCTGAGAGCCAGAAGCCTATCGTTCAGCTTCTTCCTCCGATTCCTCTCCGACAAGATGTTCTTCGACGCCTCTAACGACGACGGCGTTCCGTCCGGCGAGCTTGAATCGTAAGAACCGTAAAACGCTTCGTCCACTCCCCAACTGAAATTTCCATTTCGTTACGAACATAATTCGCAGAGATTTAAAAAAAAAAAACAGAGAATATCAAAAGCTGCTTAAGAACCTGTCGAACTCTTCCGTCTGTAGAAACATGTTCGTTTCCCAGTAGTACTGATACTCGTCGAGAATGTTCTCCATCGGCGGCGAATTTGGCGGATGGCCGGAGAAGACGGCGGCGATGGAGATTCTGATTGGAGAGGAATTGAGTTGGTTGGGAGGAGGGGGAGAATTTGGGAGGGTTTTATAGGGAAGAAAATTAAATATATTGTTTTTTTATTTTTTTATTAACCCACGTGGGTTGTACCAGCTAGATGCTTCCCGGAAAGACCGAACCGTCTAAAAGTTCAAGACGGTTTTTTTTTTGTGTTCGGACCGTGTGAACCGGATCTACTCTGGGTTGACGATTCTACTCTTGGTCAACGAGTAATTGCCAGACCATCATGCCTCTCTCTTCCTTAAATGCAATAAATTTAAAACTATTTCTTGCAATTATTATATTGTCATTTAATAATTCAAATAATTCATTTCTAATTTTTTTAAAACTTCAAAATTATAAATGGTAACTAGGAATTCAGTGAAGGGTATTTACGTCTTTTTGTGCCCTTGTCTTGTCTTCTTCTCGTTTGTGGTTGGTTGGCTGTGCCACGACACGAGATAAACGTTCTCGACTACTAGTGGTTAATTTCTTTATGAGTTTTATTTTTCAAAATATATTATTCTTTTTATTAATTATTTTTTGACAAATGGACGGTCTACAATAATTGGGATTATCCATTTTTTTATTTAATTATTTTTTTAAGTACCATGCGTCTCGTGGATCCAAAGTACGTTACTTACATCAATTTTGGACAAACCAGGTAAGAATGAGTTGTTTTTTTTATATTTTTTCCTTTTTTGTAAATTATATATTTTTTTCAAGGGTTGAAATTTTTAAAAACAAAAAATTCAATTTATTATTATTATTTTTTTTTTTTTTTGTCTAGTCAAACTCGATTAATCTCAAAATAGTTTATCTATGTTAGTAATGCATTTTGTCTCGTAAATATTTAATATTTAAATTTTACAAGATTTTATTTATCATGTATTGTGGATAAGTATGATTTCTTTTTTTTTTTTTTTTTAAAAAAAGAATAACTTGACTTCCCACCCGAAAATAGAAGGTTGAGTTACGTTTACTGTTGGGTTGTGAAATCTATTCAAATGGGTCGAGTCACAAACTTAACAAATCCGAAATTTTGAGTTGGTTCAAAAGATTTTTTTTCAACTTAACCAACGACACTCCGAAACTAAGCGTAGTCACAATTAAGTTGATATATATATATATTCAAATTGATATTAATTATACGATTTTTTATTTTTCAAGATGTGGGTCGATGATTATAAAAAGAGTAGTAGATACGAGTAGAGATAATCTCAGCTATTATTAATTTATATATTTATCAAAATTAAAAAGAGAGAGTTTATAATATTAAAAAATAAACTTGACTAAATTTATAATTTAAAAAACGTGAGAAAAAAAAGTTAGAAAAATATATTTTATTTATTTAAGCTAGATTTGCAACTTTGGGAGAGTGGAGCCAAAAAATAGAGTCCAAAATGTACAATGTTTTTTCACCCAAAAGACAAAAAATACTTTATCTTTGAAAAAGTTATAATAATCATTGGGATGGAACACTTCGCCCCCTCCAAGTTGTTAATATAATGTTAACATTTGCTTTAAATAATTTAATTCTTAACCCTTTCAATTTAATTTCGTATGTTTTATTTTATTTACTGTCTTGACTAGATTAGATTTGTCACAAAACCTTGCACAACTCTAGTGTTTCATCGTCTCTGATGCTTTAGTTAGTGTTGAGTACAAACAACGTCAAACTATTTAGGTGAATAAAACATATTTTGTGAGAAATTGTAGATTTGGGGTCGATCATGTCTTTGAAGTAAGGATGGATTAGCTCGATAAAGGTTTTGGGTCAAGTCAGAAATGACCTCAATACTACCCATTATTCACCTTGGCACGTTGAGGTCATACTTTAACACGTGTATCTTAATAATGTTGTCTTACGTGGGAAGCCTTTTATTTTAACTTCTTTGTAACACTAACCCCACTTTGAAGCAGCGAGACAGTGGTCGTACGTAGACCATAGTGTATAAGTAACCATTACGAGCAATAAGGTACAACCTAACTACGGTATGAGGTGAACTATTTTTGCGCTTAATCATTGCATTTAAACGACTATATTTACAATAACCCAACTTTAAAAAAAAGTTATTACTTTTAAAAAGTAAAAGATTAAAATAAATATTCGAAAGTAAAATATATATATATATTTGGGCCCAAGTGGAGTTGGAACGAGTCATACGGGGGGATGAGACGAGTCAACTCGGCACTACCCGACAAAAATCCTGGAAAGGGAAGATTTGAAATTAAACAAAATCAGAATTTTTTTTAATTTTATTAAATTTAATAAATATTGATAGATCCAAAGTTTATTATAATTGTGAAACTCCATGGATATTTTTA